GCATGCAACGATTTCAACTACAGAGGCCACAGCTATCAGTACAATGTTCAACGATGAAATGAGATCATCTCATGTTAGAAACACACTGCTTGACAACTATCTTAACAAAAAGAAAAAAAAAGAGAAATAAACTTTTGTCATGTCTTAGAAAGCAAAAATAAAAACAGACAACCCAACAAAATAAAATATTTATATATGTATCTATAAAGTGAAAGCAAATGAGAGAAACAACAAAAAACAGTAAAGAGCTTTAGAAGGGTTACGAAGAGTCCAGGTATACCAGCGCCGGGGTGGGAATATTTTCTTTGGGGCTGGTTACCACGTTGGCTTTGTTGTTTATCTGTGGGTATGCAGAAAATAGAAACAGAGACGCCTTAAACCCCTTGGTAGCCAATGTCTCTATGGTAGCGTGTCTACATGGAGAGAGAGACATGCAAATAAAGAGCCACTGGAGATGACCGTGAAAGACACTGATGACTGATGGGAAAGGATGATCACTTCTAGTCTCTGGTGGTCACGCACAGGCTGGGACCGTGCTGGGAGGGCAGGATGACCAAACAGACTGGGCTGTGCCACCTTTGCAAACAGACAAAGAGCTGCTTCAGCGGAGCTCGAATCGGGCTTTCGAGTATGAAATGAACACAACCCTTTCTCACACTCTTCAAGGCGGATTCTGTTTTCGGGCTTCCCACTGTTCACTGTTACGAATACATTCCTTTTGCTTTTTCATTTTATTCTTCAGCCTGAAGTCACACATCAGACCATCTTTCTCTGGGGAGCCATCCTTACTTTGTCTAGTAGGCATCCAGTTAAAAACTTAGATCTTCTGATGAGATGCAGGTATTATCGTATTGTAAAAAAATGATAAGTGTAAGGTCTCCTTAACCGTTACGCCTTCAATTATAGGTGAGGAAATCAAACTCTACTATATGCTGGATGTAAAAGGAATGTTTTTTTAATAATTGTTTCGGAGGAAAATACTATGTTTTCTGTCAAAGTGCTATTCCCATCATTGAAGAATATATTTGGTAACATTTTTGCCTTGCTTGAACACTATTGGATCTGACCATAAAGAGGATTTCATTACCGCTGCGGAAGCCACATTGTGAAAGCAACGCAGAGGGTCAGTAAGTATCACAATGGCCCACAGAGAAGATTCTTTGTGGCCAAGTGGCGACTTGAAACTACAGTTGAGTTTGGGCATTAAAGAATCAAAGACTAAAAAGTAATAATCAACATGCTCTTGAACCATGCATGACAACTTACGTTATGGTTACCAAACAAAAATAAAAATAAACATTCGTTTTCTTATACTTTATCGTGTAGGTGTTTTCTTTATACATTATTTTCTAAAGGAACACACCCCCATAATTTTAATATAAATGTATTTAAGGACTTAATGAAAAACATAGACTGCATAAAATAAATGAATACCACATGAGTACAAGTGATTACACCAATTTAATTGTGTTTTTGGGAAGTCTATACTTCATACCTATTTATCATACCGAAACTAGCACTGAGAAGAAGATAGAGGGTAACAGAAATTAATTTAGGTATGCAATATTTTCCTTTTCTGTTCATTCACATTTGTGTGGTTATTGGTATCAGTATTATTTAAATAAACCGTAACACTGTGCTCTGTGACATGCAGAAAAAGAGAGAAAACTTTTCAATTTTCCTTTACTGGAAAACTCTTTAAATGTAAAATCATCAATTTATATTTTGCACATAAACATTTTTTTCTTTAGATCAAAGTGAACAGAATTTAACATAAAATTTGTGCAAGAGCCAAAAAGTGATAAGAGGTGATGGAGTCTAAGAAAGAGGGGTCAAAACTCAGTATTTATGTTAGTATAGGGTGTAAGAGAAAGGGGAGGGAAGCACACCAACATAGCTTCTGATTCAGGAGAGTGCTTGGCAAACATAGCTGGCTTCCTGTCATCAGGGGCACTTACGATCAAAGTACCACATGTATGTAATAGGCTATGTTTAGCTTGTATCAGTATTCTCATTTCTGATTTGAGATAAGATACTTGATTTCTTTTCTGGGATGTAGTTGCCAAGAACTGCTTTATTTTAGTGAGAATGCCCCCCATGCACACCTGTTCACACAAACTTACCTGCACAAGCACATACGTGCTCACACACACACACATACACACACACATTCACACATGGATACACGGCATTCACACACCATCATCTCTTCCAGATGAAAGGCACTCTGTCTAGCTGAGCCACCCTTTGTTGTCAGCTGTGGGAAACGTGAGTTAAATGTCTGGGAGCCTCAACCCTCACCTTCAGTCATGTTTAAATGTGCAGTTGAAACCTTTTTCGTTAATGTAAACATTAACTTAATGATCATTTTCTAATATGGGAAATCTTTTGGAGGTATATGTAGCATTAATTAATTGAAAAAATGTAAGAGAATTTCTAAGTAAAAGGCCAGAAGAACTTCCATTCAAAAAATCAAATAGAAGCACGGGTTCAACCACAGCTGTCTTTTAAACATGTAAGAACTCTGGCACTTTTGTCTGTGAATGTAATTATTTTATATTATGGAAGCAGAGTATTTTTCATTTTCAAAAAAAACTGAATTGAACCAGATATTTATATGATGCACTACTGAATTACTCTGATGAGGCATGGGTATGATATTCCTGTTTCTCAAGTGTTGAATTTATTGAGTTTTGAGGTTAATGAACATTTCCTTTAAAGGTGCTTAACTAGGGTGGGTCCACTGTGAGATGACTTTCACACTCTTTATAAACTCCATGGTGAATGTAGTATGTGTGTCTCAACTGAGCATCACTTCTATTTTAGCAACATGAGCATCATTTTAAAAATAATCATATAGTGTTCCTTCAGTTATCAGTAAACAGACATTAATTATGTCATGGTCTTTTTATTTTCAAAGAGAAAATTGGACTTTGTCCTTGTAAGAGATCAAATCAGTCCATAGCATATGGATGTGAGTTGAACTTTTTACGTATTTAAAACTTCAGTTCCAGAGAAAACCAGTATAATGTGTAAGTGGAGTACCGTGTTTTTTTGATAGTTAACACCGACCTGTAACGGTCCTACACTTTCTCTACTGACACTAGCTTAGGTAAGTAAGACTGTTTTCTTCCTAAGAGTGAGTTTTCCCAAGAGGAGCAATCTGGCAGGTGGAGATCCTCACCATCATCTGAACACTCGAACTGGACTTCCTTTTCTGAATTGACCAGTCAAAGAGAAAGGAAAAGAAAAACATACGACCGGTTGAATTTAAAGTATCAAAGCACGGAGTACAGAATAATTTTATCTTTAAAGAAGGGGGTAAGTGGACTAGAAGAAGAAAAGTTCTGGAAATGTTTCTTTTTATACAAGGATAGTAGTGAAAATAAATTCCATAGGAACTCTGAGTTCTCCATCACCAAACAGTACAGAAAAACCCAGGAGAAGAAAACATTTGGAAAATTAAAACACCACATTTCCTCCAATGTACTATTGGGAAAAGGCAGCAGACATGAACTGTCATTATTGAAACCTAAATTGAATAAACTAAGCAGAAGGAAGATAAAATTACAGGGTGAGGGAAGCAATTGGTAAGTGGAAATGCCATCCTAATGGGAATCTCAGGTGCAAGGTCACCAGCACTTGGGAAGTTTCCAGGTTTGACCAGACAGGTGGTGAAGAAATGACTGGGCATGAACACTGAAGTGACAAATGATTTTTTAATGTTATATTTGCAACAGGAGTTGACCACTTGACTTTGGGTCAAGTTCAAATGTTAGAATAGTAATTAATTCCCAAGAATGTTGGAGTGTTGATGAGGAATGTATGCATCTGCCCTTGGAAGGGAAAGAAAAGGATTAAAGAAATAAAACATTTAGGTGATAACTCTGGAAAGATAACAAATATCATTATGCAAATAGAAGGTCACCTTCCATCAAAAGGAAATTCCCCTGAAGCAAAATACAATCAGTAGGAAATAAATTGCATTATTTTGTTTAGAAATCCAAGAAAGTCAAAATATCCTGCTGTTACTTTTCTTGGAAGATTTCTATAAGATTGGTTCGGAATATTCTCCTTGAATATTTCTCAATACCTTATGAGAGAAACACAGAAACAATTAAGAACTTTATAAAAAATGCCTGAGCAGAGAAATTTTAGTCATTTGATGTTATATTTTCCACATCTAATGTGAGGTTTTTTTGAAAGGCTATGCACTTCAGCAGCCTTCAAAAGTACATAGCATCATGATTTGCAAAAACATTTGGTTTTTACAGATTTTCAGGTCACCATGGTAGTTTGGGCGGAGAGGACATAGACGCTTAGTTTCTATAGGAACTCTATACTGGGTTTAGGAGTGGTTTTTTCCATGATTACTTACTATATAATCAGATAGAAAAATATATTTCTTGGTATAAACGTTAGTCATCATTGTGTATTAAATTATTTCTTATTTCAACTTGCATCCTTTATCAGAAACTATAAAAAATACAAGTTGCACAGACTTAAGACTTATATTTAACATTTAAAAATTATTCAACGTCAGAAATGGATTAGGAGCACCTGTTTAACTTACCTTCACTCCATCTGGTTTCTTCAACAAACTCTTGGCTGCTGTGAAATGAGAGCAAAATCAGCTTAGTGAGTTATCCTTAGAAACACATCACCAGGCAACAAAACAGTCAGGTCTCCTTCTACCACCTCTGCTGAGTTATGGCCAACATATGCCAAGTTATCAAGGTCACACTGATGAGCGCGAGCTTACAGGACATTGAAACACAGTATCCCTTTTCTTGGTTTGCCACAACAAATTCAGAATTAAATTCTGAGGTACTTCATTGGGTATAATTGAACAGTTTGCCAGTTGTGTTACTGGACTTTATTTCACCGTTGGTTGCGAAAAGGATACTGGAACTTTAACTGGACTATCCTTTTGGAATCCAGAAAGTTGGTATCAGTCTTGAGACATCAGCTGACAGATTGTATTACATGTTCATTCACACAAGTATGGTGACCATGTCAGTTCTGCCATTTAAGACCCTCTTTCTAGAGGCTGAAAACTCATTTGTAACAATTTGCTCTGACTAAATAACCTCTTTAATATATTTATGAAGTCAGGCAGTTTCAGTTTTACAAAAAATATTAACTGTATTTAAATGAAATGGCATATTATTGACCTAGAGCAAATTTTCAAAATGCTTAGTCCATGACCTTTTTAAAAAACAGCATTATGTATCCTTTTATACTTCAAAATCAGAATACAAAGGCTTCATAAACAATAAGCCTTTACATTGAAAAGGTAAAAATCATAAAATTTGAGACAAGATATAAAACAAAATGAAATCTTCAAATAAATCAGAGAAATCCTAAAGCATATGGTCTTATATGAAACTTCATTTTTTTTGGTGGGGAGTTTTTATCATTCCTTCTGTTACTGAACTTCTTCAGTGTAATTAAAAAGGTGAAGTCATCCCTTCAAAATACATACTTATGGATGGGTACATACACGGTGAACAGATAATATAACTGTCAATGACAATTAGTATGCCAGGTGTAGAATTTATGAATATGCAGGACAAAGTACACATTTATGATCCTATTTAATGTTAATTATGTATAATTATTTAAGAACATCCCAAAAGAATTTGGCATCACAAGTGGAAATACCTAGCTAGAATAGAACTGCATGAACATGTAATTTCCTGACATTCATCTGATCTGGGACATTATTTTGATATCACTTTGGTAAAATTTTAAATTTATTTAAAAGGTACAAAAAATGTTAATTTTATCTAGTTAATTTTATTTAGCAACATAGCTATTAATTTATTATTAATTGAGATTGTAAGAAATAGTGGCCTTAGCTATAGTACTGTTTGCCTGGAGCTGAAAAGCAACATTAAGTATATCCTGTGGCAGTTAATAGATTAGAAAGCAAACTCAGGATAACTGGAATCGCAATAGCAAGCAAAGAGAAGACAATGATCGGGGTAAGCAGGGATTTGGCCTTGGAGATGCAGAAATGTCCCTGTAGGTTACTCTTCACCTTACCTCACAAGAAATACATTCCACATAAAGGGAGAAAAGAAAAAACAAAAACAACTTTATAACCATATACTTCCGGACAAATTACTTTAAAGAACATGTTCGGCAATGAAATAGAATGAATAAAATACCCAAACTAAAATGCAATTTCAACTACAAGATGTTGTAACTGGGTCTAATGTTATTCAGTTGATTTGAAAGTGATGAATTAAAAAAAAGTTTGCTTTTCATGCTACGACACTCAGAAATGATATAAAATCCACATATTAGTCATGAGTTTTTAGTTTACAGGACGATGAACAGGAAAACATGAGGTCAACAAAAAGCTTTCATATGTGGGTACGTACATTAATACAGGCCCAATTTATGCCTAAGAGTGTATTTAACACTTCAACGAAATACACAATTTTAATTCTGGAGATTTCTTTTTCAAGTTAGTTTGCCATTAACAATTTATGCTATATGAATTTATAACAATTCATGCTACCTTTCATGATTCACTAATTACTGGGCCACAGTGATATATTAATTTATTTGAGTATAGTACATATTAGTTAATATTTAATGTATGGCATTGGACTCATATAAATGTCAACCATATTAAGCAAGTGTTTATAAAACAGGTAACTTGACAAAGGCAGCAACAAGGTTTTATTACACTAAACAAATCGGACAACATACAAACAACTGACCAACACAGTCCCTCAGTTTGTCGCCTTATTCATTGTGCTATCATCATTGTTGCTGTTTTTTAACAGCCTTTGGAAGGCCTCTTATGGTTTCACATCATCTAAAACCAAATGCTAAGGGGGGGAAAAGGTGATCACTTAACACAATAGTAAATAATAACTAGAAATTGGTTGAAGAACATTTAATAATGATATAATGGATCATTACCTGATAGCACAAGATTGCTTAGCATTTACAAAAATTTGACTTTTGGAAACCTGGACCTTTGAGACAATCTATCAAAGAAGAAGTCTCCAAGACTCAAATAATTTGTGGGAGTAATACAACCTTTATCTCTGTTTTAGAGAGTCACTCCTACAATAAAGAAACGCCTTGGCTTATTTTAGCCCATTATTTAACATGTTTATTTTTACCGTGAAATGATTTTGAGGAACGTTTATTATCCTATGATAGTACTTGGTGGAAGGTTCTCTGTAAATTCTTGACTTAGATACCTTTGACAGTTGCAATCATTCTTATAGCATGCCAAGACACTACTGTACGTCCGAAAGAACCTAGGCCTAAGAGAATGGGATCCTCAATAATGGTCTTCTTTTAACAATCTTGCTTATTGGGATTCCCTATGAAAATGAGACAGAAAAACCTTATTCATAGTTATTACTTTATGAAATTTCAGTTAATAAATTCTAGGTTCAGAATGCTGAGCCTAAAAATGAGTGAGTACACATTTCCACAACTTGTGCACACCCCAGTGTTGGACACATGGTTTCTAGTTGTGCACCAGCACTGACCACTGGCCGGAGCTGCCTGGGGCACTCTTGTGAGGGGGGCAGGCTTGTGAGGGGGCAGGTGTGGAGGCTCAGACAGCACCTGGGCCGATTGCTAAATGGCAGCCACAGGTGTAGAAGGAATCTACGCCACACATTTGCCGTCTCTCTGAGCAATGGGATTTTTCTAATTACTAGATTTTTTTTTTTTTAATTCCGAAAAGATAAAAAAGACTACTTAAAGAGGAGAACGGAGGATTAGGAGCAGAGTTCTGAATGCATGTACCTGAAAAATTCCTCGTAGCCAGCATGGTTGTCAAGATGGCACCCTGTCAAGGAAATAAGAATACAAAATCAATGTTGCCACTGCAAATCTTCAACCTAACAGACACACAGTCTTTGATAACAGAATCTCCTGGCCTTAATTTTAGTTAGGGGATTTTGATTGTTTGTTTCTGTTTTTCGGTTTTCTGAGAGTCACAGACCTGCGTCTCTCATGATGCAGGGACCACCCGCATGTGTGGGCCAGACTCAGATTATCGAATTGCACAGCTGTTTTCCACTGAAGGGAGGAACCGCCACACATGTGGCCACACTGATTTTAGGTTTTCATCACAGGTTTGATCCTGGTGGATATTCCATCTTCCCAAGCCCCAGAAAAAGAATCATAAGAGTATTGAGGTCTACACAGCGAATAGCCTTTGTGAAAATTACTTTCCTTACATAGCATTTCATTTCTCACTCTGCCAAATCTACTTCCCCACAAAAATATAAAATGGTTTACCTTTAGTTTTCTTCTAGCATTGAATTTCTTCAAGCAGTCTACAGTCTCCTGTCTGTGCATCATGGAAGCAACAGTAGAGCGTTGCTGGAAGAAGAGGAGAAAAAGTGACTCAACTGAGGATATTTAAAACATGCTAAGATTAATAATAGCGTCCTAGACTTCATCAAATCTCTATTAGCGGTGCTTCACCATACGATCAACTTGTAAGTATCCAATGACCAAAGTTATCTAAAAATAAAGACTGATTTTGCCAAAACTACTGGTGACTATGATGCCAAATTTATGTATATAAAGTATAGAAATGAATATCAACAATTTCCCAAATTATCCTTATTTCAATGTCTTTAATCACTTCTTTTATTGGGCTGCCTTTCATTTACTTAGCATTGTATTTATTGCCTTAAAATTTGATACTCATCCTGAGAAATTTCCTGAGGTCTCTAGATAACCCTCATCTCCACCCCCAATTTCACATTACTGTTCTTAGTACTTCTAAAGTATATGCAGACTACTATGGCCATTCTTTCATGCAATAAAACTCTCCTCTCAGCTTCCAAACCTCAAACTTGTTTCTAATGCTGCCTAATGGTAAATGAACTTTGTCTAATCTTTTCATCTGGGACACATTTAATCTTGGTGCTATTTTCTTAACCTCTGTTCATGAGTATTGTCAATAATTGATATGGGGAATACTCATTCCTTGTGTTATTATAGGCAATATTTATTTAACAACATATGCAAATCAGACCGCTACGGAAAGTGGCATTTTTCACCATTACGAAATTCATTTTCCTAAATACCTTGAGTCAAACATTCATTCATTCTGAGTTTCATTTTTTTCTGCAAAATTATTTTTAATCTATGAAAAAAATATTAAAGGAGAGTTTATCTTTCATTTTCGCCGCTGAGGTTTTTGGAGAACCGTCACTTACGCAGATCCATGGGTGCTTCAGCGCCTCTGAGGCTGTGATCCGTTTGGCAGGGTTGATGGTTAGCATTTTATTGATGAGGTCTTTGGCTTCGGGAGTCACTGTGTCCCATTCTGGTGACGGAAACTTCAAAAAGATAAATTTACAAAGAGTTTAAAAAATAGACATACTCTGTAAAACAGGGAAGAGCCAAATACACACATTATTTCCTTACTGCTGAATTTCTTCATACATTTACTTCTTGTATAAGTTAAATTGTATCTAAAATAGATAAACTGATCCAGATATATTCCTCCCCCTATGTAGATAACTGTATATATTAAAGAGTATCTGACAAGGGACCAACATATGTACTAAATTAAATATTACATATAGTAAAATACATTTTAAAACTCAGAAAAATAACTTAAGAATGTTCTATTCCTTTCAGAGTGTCTTTGCTTTGATTTGAAAATGAAATTTTATGTAATCTTTGTCAGAGTTGTTTGCAAAACTCAAAAAAAGCTAAGAGGTTATTACATGTATGAATGTCATCATGCTATTATGCCAAGGTTCAAAATGAGGTATTATATATTTTCACAGTTCATGAGCAATAATAGCAGAGATAATAAAACAGCTTTAGTTCCTGTGCCAAAATTGGCCCATTAATCGTGGCTGCCTGGAGTGCTGTAGTGAGAAGAATTCGAGACTACAAGGGCTTCAGTAGGATTTCATTTTAACACTTCAAGAAGGTTAATCTACCTAATTACAAATTTCACCAAACTATATGAAAGTAACCAAATCTCATAGCTTTTGGTAGGAATCCATTTTACCTTAATAACTATATGATGAAGCTACTTATCATAACTTTATTTTTTTCTGAAAAGATAATTATTTAACCTTACTTTCATATAATTAGCATATTTAGTAGAAATACTATTCTTCACTGGTTAAGAGACATTGAAATCACATTAGTTGCTAAATAACAGAATACCAGCTTCCTTTCCTAATTCGTGAATTTTTATAGACAATCCTGAAAACCAAAGCTGTTGTTATTATGTCATAAAATCAAATTAGTCCACGTTTAGTAGTTATAAAGGGGCACTTTGACCCATTGGCAAAATGCAACATGAGGAAAATAATATTGACTCTTTAATACCTGTAATTTTGGCCAGTTTAACAATTGTCATTTTTTAATTCCAGAAGTTTCTCTTTCACC